ATGTAGCAGAGGGAAGAGCACTCCCAAACTCATTCTATGAGCCCACCATCACCCTGATACCAAAACCAGACAAAGATGTCACAAAAAAACAAAACTGTAGGCCAGTATCACTGATGAATATAAATGCAAAAATCCTCGACAAAATACTAGCAAACAGAATCCAACAGCACATTTAAAAGGTCATACACATGAACAAGTGGGGTTTATCCCAGGAATGCAAGGATTCTTCAATATATGCAAATCAATCAATGTGACACACCACATTAACAAATTGAAGGATAAAAACCATATGATCATCTCAATAGATGCAGAAAGAGCTTTCGACAAAATTCAACACCCATTTATGATAAAAATCCTCCAGAAAGTGGGCATAGAGGGAACTTACGTCAACATAATAAAGGCCATATATGACAAAACCCCAGCCAGTATTGTTCTCAATGGTGAAAAACTGAAAGCATTTCCTCTAAGATCAGGAACAAGACAAGATTGCCCAGTCTCACCACTATTATTCAACATAGTTTTGGAAGTTTTAGCCACAGTAATCAGAAGAGAAAAAGAAACAAAAGGAGTCCAAATCAGAAAAGAAGAAGTAAAACTGTCACTATTTGCAGATGACATGAAACTATACGTAGAGAATCCTAAAGATGCTACCAGAAAACTACTAGAGCTTGTCAATGAATTTGGTAAAGTTGCAAGATACAAAATTAATGCACAGAAATCTCCTGAATTCCTATACACTAATGATGAAAAATGTGAAAGAGAAATTAAGAAAACACTCCCATTTACCACTGCAACAAAAAGAATAAAATACCTAGGAATAAACCTACCTAAGGAGACAAAAGACCTGTATGCAGAAAAGTATAAGACACTGATGACAGAAATTACAGATGATACAAATAGGTGGAGAGATAGATATAACATATTCTTGGATTGGAAGAGTCAACATTGTGAAAATGACTATACCCCCCAAAGCAATCTACAGATTCAGTGCAATCCCTATCAAACAACCAATAGCATTTTTCACAGAAGTAGAACAAAAAAATTTCACAGTTTGTATGGAAACACAAAAGATCCCGAATAGCTAAAGCAATCTTGAGAAAGAAAAACAGAGCTGGAGGAATCATGCTCCCAGACTTCAGACTATACTACAAAGCTACAGTAATCAAGACAGTATGCTACTGGTGCAAAAACAGAAAGATCGATCAATGGAACAGGATAGAAAGCCCAGAGATAAACCCACGCACCTATGGTCACTTTATCTTTGATAAAGGAGGCAAGAATATACAATGGAGAAGAGACAGCCTCTTCAGTAAGTGTTTCTGGGAAAACTGGACAGCTACATGTAAAAGAATGAAATTAGAACACTCCCTAACACTATACACAAAGATAAACTCAAAATGGATTAAAGATGTAAATGTAAGGCCAGACATTATAAAACTCTTAGAGGAAATCATAGGCAGAACACTCTATGGCATAAATCACAGCAAGATCCTTTTTGACCCACCTCCTAGAGAAATGGAAATAAAAACAAAAATAAACAAATGGGACCTAATGAAACTTCAAAGCTTTTGCACAGCATAAACGAGACAAAAAGGCAACCGTCAGAATGGGAGAAAATATTTGCAAATGAAGCAACTGACAAAGGATTAATCTCCAAAATATACAAGCAGCTCATGCAGCTCAATATCAAAAAAAGAAGAAAACCCAATCCACAAATGGGCAGAAGACCTAAATAGACATTTCTCCAAAGGTGATATACAAATTGCCAGTAAACACATGAAAGGATGCTCAACATCACTAATCATTAGAGAAATGCAAATCAAAACTACAATGAGGTATCACCTCACACCAGATGGCCAGAATGGCCATCATCAAAAAGTCTACAAACAGTAAATGCTGGAGAGCATGTGGAGAAAAGGGAAACCTCTTGCAGTGTTGGTGGGAATGTAAATTGATACCACCACTATGGAGAACAGTATGGAGGTTCCTCAAAAAACTAAAAGTAGAACCACCATATGACCCAGCAATCCTACTACTGGGTATATACCCTGAGAAAACCATAATTCCAAAAGAGTCATGTACCACAATGTTCATTGCAGCTCTATTTACAATAGTCAGGACATGAAAGCAACCTAAGTGTCCATTCACAGATGAATGGATAAAGAAGATGTGGCACAAATATACAATGGAATATTACTCAGCCATAAAAAGAAACGAAACTGAGTTATTTGTAGTGAGGTGGATGCACCTAGAGACTGTCATACAGAGTAAAGTAAGTCAGAAAGAGAAAAACAGATACCATATGCTAACACATATATATGGAATCTAAAAATAAAAACCAAAAAAAAAGCAGTGGTTCTGAAGAACCTAGGGGCAGGACAGGCATAAAGATGCAGACATAGAGAATGGACTTGAGGATATGGGGAGCGGGAAGGGTAAGCTAGGACGAAGTGAGAGAGTGGCATGGACATATATACACTACCAGAAGCAGCCGCATAGCACAGGGAGATCAGCTCGGTGCTTTGTGACCACCTAGAGGGGTGGGATAGGGAGGGTGGGAGGGAGACACAAGAGGGAGGAGATATGGAGATATATGTATACGTATAGCTGATTCACTCTGTGATACAGCAGAAACTAGCACACCATTATAAAGCAATTATACTCCAATTAAAATGTTCAAAAAAAGAAAAAGAAAGAAGTTTAGAGAAGAAGGTGTAGGCAAGTCTTAAGCGCGGAGCTCAGAAGTTTGAACTTTGTCCCGTATGCATTTGTATCCCATTGAAGTTTTTCATAAGGCCAGCCCTTATGCTAATTATACTGCATCCTCACTGCTGGGTTGGGTCTCCTCTTACCACCAGACTGCTACCTTCCCCCGGGCAGGTACTGTGTTTGAATCACCACATGAGACCCCAGCCCGGAGTACAGTGCTTGGCACACAAGAGACGTGCAGTGAAGATGCTGTGAGTGAGGGAATTAATAAATTTGGAGGAGCAGTTATGTTGTCACAGCTTAGATCTGCCTTCTCTACCTCTTCTCTGGAGCTCTTAGGATGGAGTTCGAAGTGCACAGCTAAGCGCATAGCAGTGACCTTGAATTCCCCCGACAGCAGCTGCTGGTGGACGTGGTCTTGTCTCTTGACTCAGAGGAACCTCATGAGGGAAGCCCATGAGAGGGTTAACAGAAGACCTGCTGCCTGACTCTGATGGCGTCATGCACGGCGGTGATTAATATATACAGCAAACATTTTCTTGCCAAAGCATAGTTGACTCAATCTAAATATTCTTTCAGAGAGGTCTCCTTAATTATAATGACATGCTATAAATATAAGAAGAAAGAATGTCAATTATCAGTTGGTATAATAACAGTGTTAGTGTTCATGCACATAAATTATCAGTAACTTTAACCTATCTAAAAGCAAGAAAAGTGCTCAGTTTTGCAATTTAAAACTTTTGAATATGCCACATTTAAAAATTATGCCTTTACAAGGAGGAGAAGTTAGTAATCACCCCTAAAATGCACGTTCTTGAAGAGTTGATGAACTACTTAGAGTGAAATTTTTTTTTTTTTTTGCGTTACGTGGGCCTCTCACTGTTGTGGCCTCTCCTGCTGCGGAGCACAGGCTCCGACGCACAGGCTCAGCGGACATGGCTCACAGGCCCAGCCACTCCGCGGCATATGGGATCTTCCCAGACCAGGGCACGAAACTGTGTCCCCTGCATTGGCAGGTGGACTCTCAACCACTGCGCCACCAGGGAAGCCCTAGAGTGAAATTTTTTTAAACATCATTTGAAAGGGCAAAATTTAAAGACACCTATGTTATATTTATTTTCACAGAATCCAGACTCATCCAGGGTGATTTGAACACCCGTCACGTGGCAAACATAAAGCTTTCAGAATTGCACTGTGTCCAAAATGGAAACTCCTAGTCATTCAGAGAAATTTAAATTTAAATTTTAGTTAATTAAAATAAAATGATTCACAGACATAGAAGAGATACTTACGGTTACCAAAGGGGGAAGGGAGGGAGGGATAAATCAGGAGTTTAGGATGAACATATACACGCTACTATATATAAAATAGATAACCCATGAGGACCTACTGTATAGCACAGGGAAGTATACTCAGTATCTTGTAATAACCTATAATGGAAAAGAATCTGGAAAACAATATGTATATATGTATGTATAATTATACAATCATTTTGCTGTATAGCTGAAACTAACACAAAATTGTAAATCAAGTAACTTCAATTTTTTAAAATGGTTTAAAAAAAAAATAATACAATGAAGTAAATTTTTCAGTTCTGCCGTCTCACCGGCCATGTTTCTAGTGCTCTGTGGCCACTTGTGGTTAGGGGCCACCACATTGAATAGTGCAGAATAGAACATTCCCATCCTGACAGTCCTATTGGACAGTATTGCTCTAAAGAAAAAAGTAAATAGGACATATCGCAAACACCACAGTCACAGCATTAAGGGCTACTGACACGCATCTAGGATTTATTTTTGGAGCAGGTATCTTTGCCCACATTAAGGAAAACGCTTAAAAGTGCCCTTGTTACCAGCATACGATAATCCTATTCAGGGCAAAATCAGACTCTGGCCCCTGGATGAGAGATGAGGCCTTCCCCTTGTCAGGTCCTTATCTGTTTGAGCTGGTTGTCTGTTTTGTTATTTTGTTTTAAGCCAGCTGTAATGTAGTTTTCCAACAAGACACTTTGAAAGCAAACAACTTCAAGGTATTAGCTTAAACCTGAACTCATTCTTTATGTTCTAATCTACTGGCTTTCAGTTCCTCTGTCTATAAAAGTAATAACTCATCACAGTTTTGGCTGAGCTCCTGTGCCTGTTCACTGGATCCAGGATTTGAAGAGTCTAGGGGAGCAGGACAGCTTATCATAAAGCGTCTGACAGTGCATACATCAGGAGGGCTTATTGGATAAAGATGCGGTCTCGGTCGATCTGCCTCAGGTATTTCATCACATCCGTCTTCTCTTACAGATCACCTACAAGGCAGTCAGTTCCTTTGACCCAGAAATAGATCTATCCAGTCAAAGTGGAAGAGTTTCAAAACTGGGAAATGAAACCCACTTTCTGTTTTTCGGACTGTATCCAGGAACCACATACTCCTTCACCATCCGAGCTAGCACGGCTAAGGGTTTTGGACCCCCGGCAACAAATCAGTTCACCACCAAAATATCAGGTATCGTACATTCATGAGCTGTGTCTTACATCAGAAGTAGCATTTGGGTACTTTCTCATTCCCATTGTCAAGTCTGCAGAGCTCACCCAAACGTACGTGTAAATTCGTATTTTTGTAAGTATGAAAATCGGACTTACGGAATTCAATGAAACGCTGCAAATGTTTATCATTTGGGAGCTTTGGATCATCGTCCTGCATCAGGAGTTAGGCAGTGTTTTAAGAGTGTGTGTAGGAGAACTCAGACATGAGCGGGAGATGCTGTTCCCAGCACTCTCAGCCCTTCGCAGTCCCAAGTTCCCAGAGCAGCAGTGTCGGGAAAGTCTCCATAGCGAGGTCTCTCACAAGGGAGTGCTCAGCAGAAAGGCAGCGTTATGTGGAGTCCCTTCCAGAAGGCTCAGCCTTCCGTGGGACCTTCACTGTTAGTAGTTTCACATCCTCAAGAGAGAGGCTACTACAAAGGGGGAGCACCAAGCACTTACATCCGCCAGCTTGTTTCTTGTAGAGACTCAATTACACCATCCAACAAAGGACATAATTTGGGAAATATTTCTGGGCATGTGCAACTGTGCAGAAAATGTCTTTGTGCTTCAGACTAGAGGAAATGGAGTTGCCATCTGGTGTGGGATATGCAGCAGCGGTAAACACAGTTCCAGGGGACGTCTTTCCTTTTCCATGTTTTCCCCTTTGGATCCGAGTAGGGCAGTATTTGAGTTTGGGCTGTGACTGTTTTGGTTGGGGGTAGAAAAGCAGGAGGCAGGTGATGGAGTAACTTCTCATCAGTCAGGGTCAGCTAAGTAATATTTAGCCTGATTTTTATATCTGTTGTCCCTCATCCCTAGTTCTGCGAGAGACTTTCTTTAGGACTGAAGGAGGGGAAGGAAGTACATACAGCACAAGTACTCTAAGCCTTCTACTAGGTTTTGAGGGAGGAGTGAGCTTTGGAATTTCGTTTTTAAGCGATTGTAACTTAAGGGATAACTGCATTGTGTAAGAGTTAATTTATGAGCACAAACTTAACTTGAAAGTTAATAGACACTTGATGTTTGATATAAGACGTTAGCTTGTAAAAACAACATGGAGAGTCGGAAAAGAGGAAGCATACTTCAGAGGTTAGGAAAGTGACAGAAGTTGTACAGATGCCTGAGTAGAAAGACCACTGGGCCTGGAATCAGAAAATGTGAGTTCTAGTTATCATTTTTCCCAGTGCTTTTTCTCTCATCTTGATCAAGTGAATTTACCCCTGGATGTAAATTAAGATGATATTACCTGTTTAAAGAGGTAATGTGTGCCAGTGTACATACCTCCAAGCCCCTTTTTTGGTAATGTCTCCCTATGGAAGCCATATTTCAACGATTATTATCTTAAAGAGGCTATTCTTTTAGAAAAAATAATTCATTTTTACCATTTGTATTAGGTAAAAATTCTGGTTGGTGTGAGTCTGGCCGCTCTTAGCCCACCAAGTTCAACAGTTCTTTCCCGAAGCAAAGCCAGTTGACATTTTAGTTAGCCTGCAAAGGCTCATCAAGAATAACTATTTGATTTTTATGCTTCAGAGAAATTATGGATTCTGGGCCCCTATTTTCTGCTTCCACGGACCTCAGAGAACTGCTCTCTATCCAAAGTGTAGCTCTGTGTTATGAACTGGAGTTCATTTTTAACAGAATTGGAGCTAATTTTAATGCTGAGAAGATCCAATGAATGGACCTGAGCTATAACCCATGTCTTTTACATAAAAGCTTCTTGTATGTAAGAGATTTAAAAAACGATACTCGCCAAACTGGCCTCTACTGTCCCCATCAGGGACCCGACCTGAGGGCCTTACAAAGGCCGGTGCCTCTGCGGCCAGCGTCACAGCCTTGGTGCGGTGATGTCTCTTGTGCACCGTGATGACAGAATTACCGAAGAGCTGTTATCTTCCAGTAACGAGCTGAACAATCTAGAAAGCAAAGACTGCCAGGAAATGGCCTTGGAAAAGGGATCCACGCTGGGAAGAGGGCTGACATTTGTAGAACTAGATTTGCCCGTCTCTCTTTACCTATTATCTCTTTGAATTCCCGTAATAACCCTGGAGGGTAATTTCTCCTATTTTGATAGATGAGTTAACTGAAGCCTCAGAGATAAGTGCTGTGCCTAAGCTCTCATGCTGGTCCGAAACAAAAGGCAACAGAAAGTCAAACCCAAGCCTTTCTCACTTCAACTCAGTATCTTTTCCGCGGTTGTGCTTTCCCAGAGAGCCCACCGGTGCCTCACTAGGTCCAGCCAGGCCCTCTGACTCCTGAGGACCTCTTCAAATCTCTGGGTGGACATTTGGTACACAAGAAACCTTGACTTACATGGGAGAACTGAAATGATCAGTTTTATGATCCTAGTAGTTATTTCTTAAATTTGCATTTAATATTTTAAGAAAAGCATATGTACAGAAAAGTACACAAATTAAATTTATTTTACAATTTACAATTGAATTACAGTGATGTACACGTATGGATGGATGTAATGGCTACACCCATTTAGCAAGAATCCGAATCGAGACACAGTATTACTAACACCTCCTAAGCCCCCCTCGCGCCCCCTCCCAGGTTAAACTCAAGACCAAAGTCAACACATGATGGTTTTAACAGCTGTCCCTGATGTTCAGGGTTGGGTAGACACGTAAAGGCTGTTTGTGGTTGGTTCACAGAGGCAATTTAAACTAAGTGTGCTGTGTTTTTAATGCTCATTGTAAATGAAAGTAGAAAGGAAACGGAAAAGACAAACCAGAAATCATGAGTCTCCTATCTCATGCATCTTCCCCAGCACCCTCCATGCCAGCTTATGAACCTGCTGAAGCCTGCACACAGCCGAGGCGCACCTGTCAGGTACCAAGCGGAGAAGGGGTGGTTTTAGGTGAAAACTGAAGTCAGGTCTCACATGTGTTTTCTGGGGATTTGCTATAGGCCTCGGTCAACATGTAAACCCATATCCTTATGAACTCTAAGTAAAAGAAAGGACTGAGGGGAAGGATAGGGTTTTGATGTGGGGGTGATCAAGTATTGTGTAAAGAGTTTGATTCTGATGCAAGTGGGTTGTTCTTTGAAGATAAGAAACAAAAACCCCAGTCCTTATACAATTACTCAGCCATAAAAAGAAACGAAATTGAGCTATTTGTAATGAGGTGGGTAGACCTAGAGTCTGTCATACAGAGTGAAGTAAGTCAGAAAGAGAAAGACAAATACCATATGCTATCACAGATATATGGAATTTAAGAAAAAAAAAATGTCATGAAGAACCTAGGGGTAAGACAGGAATAAAGACACAGACCTACTGGAGAACGGACTTGAGGATATGGGGAGGGGGAAGGGTAAGCTGTGACAAAGCGAGAGAGAGGCATGGGCATATATACACTACCAAACGTAAGGTAGATAGCTAGTGGGAAGCAGCAGCATAGCACAGGGAGATCAGCTTGGTGCTTTGTGACCTCCTGGAGGGGTGGGATAGGGAGGGTGGGAGGGAGGGAGACGCAAGAGGGAAGAGATATGGGGACATATGTATATGTATAACTGATTCACTTTGTTATAAAGCAGAAACTAACACACCATTGTAAAGCAATTATACTCCAATAAAGATGTAAAAAACAAACCCAGTCCTTTCAAGGTGGCTTTACTCCTAAAAGGTAATTGCTCCCTGTAATTTAGTTACCCAAGGTCAGGTGAGCCCTATTCCTTAAGTGGACTTTCATGGAGTGCTTTTGTTTGTTTTGTTTACAGGGAGTTTTAAGTCCTTAACCTTCAGTAAATTGGCTAATCTCTCAGTTGAATATGTGGTGTATAACTGTTTTTTTTTAAGAAACAGGTGATTAGAAAGATGATTGTGAAATCTTTATTTGAACAGATTTCAGTATATTACCATGATGTAGGCCTCATTTCTCATCGTGTGGTGATTTATGTAGCTAAGAAGTTACAAAGTATAACTTTTACCGTGAATGAATAAAATAAATTTATTCTTCGTAGGAAGGAGCAAAGGAATGCCTGAATAACTCTTCAGTATGAACTTGTCATAAGCTTATTAATCTATATAAATGAAATTTCTACTTGTTTCAGAGGGATTCAGATATTTTGTACTAACAGAGTAGATTCCCTTGAAAATAACCTATTCCGTTGAATAGCGTTCTCCAAGGAAACATTTACATTCACAATTAAGGCTACAGGGCCGGGGGGTGGGGTTCCTTTCCCTGTGCCTTTTGTAGAATTTTATTTCATTAACCTTTTGAAACCTGGCCTCTCTTTGATCACGGTTTCACTACAGTATCCAAGGCGGATCCATTGGACTTCTTTCTGCCTGATAAGATATGTAAGTTTCAGTTCACAGACTCAAGATGAAAAACAGACAAGCATTAGTTGATAGAGAATTCACATTAGGGTAGAATCACAGAAACTTTTATTTGAAAACCCTGCAAAATGATATGAAACAAGTTTTAGTTTGCTGACCTACTCAAAGTAGTAGCCCATGTAAGGGATTTCAGATCGCCACTCATAGGTACAGTAAGTGAGAACACTCTGAAATATGTAAAAGCTCGGTTCCAGATGTAAGATATTATTTCTGCAAGAAAAGCGATGCCACTGACACTGCCCAGGCCCTTTGGGTTGCTTTGTTTGACACTGAGGGGTTGCACGAACTGAATGACCCCAGGCTCACCCTCATTGGATGGCTTTCCAAGACCCAAGCATACCTATGACCACGGGTCAGACTTTTTCACTCCAGAAAGCTGAATTATTATTAAATGAAAATTGACGCTCTGACCGTGGCCTTGAGAACATCATTTGTTTCTGACCAATTTTGAGTTGCCCAGACTCAGCAAAACAGGCCATTAGGACAGGAGTCCAGGTTCTACCACAGAGGCATCTCGATGAAATGAGAGGGTAGAGGTCATTCACTCTCAGAGCCTCCAAACTGAAGGAAGCTGAAACCCTAACCATTTGTCCAACACTCTACTCTATTCTCATAAAAACTCCTTTCACACATTTTCTATTCTTGTTGCTTCTTTCCTTCTAACCCTTTCAGTTGGATTGCCATCCTCATCTTTGTATAGATCTTTCCAAGTCTAAGTTTTCAAATAACACTTCTTTGGGCAATCCATGTTAGTCCTGTCCCCAGAAACCCTTTTCTTATCTTTTTAAAGTGTCTGTTGTGTCCCAAACGACTACTCATATTTTCCATCATCTGCCTTTGCTAAGGCACGCTTTTGTTCTTTATCTTTATACCTTTCTAGTTGTTTTTGGAGACTTTGAAGCCTTACTACTTAGTTAGTTGCAGACATCCTCAGGCTTTGTATTCTTATGTCTATAAAAATACAAATTCAGATGCTGGTCAGGGTGTCTAAGACGCAGGTCTCACACCATTTCAGCAGGCCCAGCTCTAACTCTGTGAAGATTTCAGTTTATCATGTCACATGCTCTTTCACACCTGTCATACTGCCTGATTTTCCAAGTTCAGCACTGCTTTGCGTTTATGAAACCTCATCTTGTTACTGGCTAAGCATTCCTGGAATTGGCCGCAGTCGTCTTGCATTCTGCTTCTATGATGCCCTCTTTTACAACGTTAGCAGCTTGAAATGAACAAATTTACTGTCTGTATCCATCGTGGAAATCTACAGTGCTAGAATCAAGATCAATTCTTGTGGCAAACAGTTCACTAAGCATTACAGGGAAATCCACTACAGATGCCACCTTTACTGGAAGGATGCTTGTCTTAAATGGGTAATTTTTATTGGCACACATTTGAGAGAGGAAATTATCTCAAACTCACCTGTCAAAAATATTTTTTTTTGAGAAAAGTGAATATTCTCTTCAAAGGATTCATTATTATCATACAGCATAATGCGACTGATTATCTATTGAGTAGATGGAAGACCAATATATCTAGAAAGACTAGTTTGGGAAAAAAATGTCCATAATACTCTCAATCTAAATGGGGTATATGAAAATTTTCAATTTCATTTAATGTTTAGAGAAATAAGAACTCTGATTAGGGACTCATAGGAACCTAAAATATAAAGCCATAATGTAGATTGAAACATTTGAACACATCTGGAAATTTGCAAAATGCACATGTAATCAACTGCAATACAAGAAAAGCTTTTCCCAAATGGTAAGATAAATACTAGAAGAAGAAATGGAAGTGAACATCTGTTGGCTTTCCTGGATTTTGCACAGAATTATGTGTTCAAAAATACTGTCATTGTGTGATTGCCAAAAACCCATTCTTTTGATTGATTTGATTTTTCTTTAATCCATATTCATTGGTGTTGAAAATTTAGTCATACTTCACTGAGGCACTTTACTAAGTGAGGTGCTTGTATACTGATTCCACTACAAACACTCAGCTTGGTTAATGCGGATTCTTGAAATTGCACTGAACTCTCAATGTAAATGATTGTTGTCTTTTTATCGATCAGCGCATCAGCTCTGTCACATAAAATTATTTAAATCCTGAGATGGCCGGGAAGAACACAAATTCCATCATTTCAGCCAGTAAACTAGCACCTAGGACAGAATTTTAATGTCTGTTCATGGATTCAATTTTTTTTCTTTAATAAGACAGGGAAAAGCTTAATTTTCTTTTACGCATTTAGAATCACCTCATTTCTCTGTCCTCTTCTCTCCACTGTTTATTACATGCAGACAGAGTCCAACAGAGAAAACCCTAATAATTTGGCAGTAAAAGAGCAACTCTAAATAAAGAATGAGTTTTACACTAACTGTGGTGCTTTTCTTGCACTAACAAAAATTCTGTCTGTGATTTTACTCTTGTGATGTATGTCTTTATATATAATCTGCTGTGTGCAGTAACCCTCATTAATGATGTTTTATACCTTCTAATGGGCTGTGGCTTGAGACTCAATCACATTTTTGTAATTCAAATGACTCTCATTTTTGTTCCTTAGGCATTGTTGCTTTAATTTGTTCATAAATGTTTTGCAGCTCGGTGTCTTCTTAATTAAAACTCAGTGCTTGAATATGTTAACTAATTAAATATTTTGATATTCATTTCAGTGGAATGTTCAAAGATTACCAAATCATTCTTTGATTCATTCATTCAGGAGAAACTGTTGAGTGGGGAAAACATCTATTACAGTTGTGTGCCTACAGGGAGGGATGGAAGGAGGGCAGTAATCACAGCAACAACCAAAACATTAACACCGAGGCTGAACCATATGAATGTAATTTTAATTCATGGCAGCCACTTTGTTCTTCTAATAGTAAAGTAGTCCAGATTATTTCTTTTTAATTTTATTGAAATATGGTTGATTTCCAATATTGTGTTTAATTTCTGCTGTACAGCAAAGTGACTCAGTTATACATGTATATAATTTTTCATATTCTTTTCCATTATGGTTTATCTCAGTATTGAGATATAGTTATAGTATAGTTCCCTGTGCTATACAGTAGGACCTTGTTTATTTATCCTGTATATAAGAGTTCGCATCTGCTAATCCCAACCTCCCAGTCCTTCCCTCCCCCTTGGCAACCACAAGTCTGTTCTCTATGTCTGTGAGTCTGTTTCTGTTTCATAGATCTGTTCATTTGTGTCGTATTTTAGATTCCACATATAAGTGATATCATATGGTATTTGTCTTTCTCGTTCTGATTTACTTCGCGTAGTATGATAATCTCTAGGACCGTCCATATTGCTGCAAATGGCATTATTTCATTCTTTGTTATGGCTGAGTAATATTCATATATATTATATATATACACACACACTACATCCTCTATCCATTCATCTGTCGATGGACATTTAGGTTGTTTCCATGTCTTTAGCCCCAATTATTTTAATGCTGTGCATTGACAGTCATTGGTGACTTACACTGTGGCTATCC